ACCCCACTCCTGCTCAGGTGTTTGCCTCCTGTCCCTCACTTTGCGGGAGCTGCCCCGTGCCTCATGTCCCTGTGCCTGGTGTCCCTGTGCCCCGTGTCCCCGCGCTGCTGTGAGCCCCTCGCAGGCCTGCCTCCAGTTTAACCACCTGGTGGGGTGGGCGGCTCCAGGGCCCTGTGCTCATGTGCACAGGTGCTATATATCACAGTCGTGACCAAGTGTTTTGACTCTTGGGCCTGAATTCTGTTTCCTACATGTCTGTCACTAGTCCTGCACCTCTTTTAGCAGCGACTGTCAGGTACGTTTCTGGGCCTCTGCCTACACATTCCCTGGCCAGTGAGCTCACTCAGCCTTTCTGAGACTAATGAGTACATTCTCAGCAGCCACCACTGAGGCTCAATAGAAAACAGAAGGGCAAGTAGAGCCTTAAAACTGATTTTATTATTTGTGCTATTTTGCTTAATGCAGTAAACTCTTGTTGACTTGGGGGTCTTAATAATTCAGAATTTGTGAAGGCAAAGTCTGAGAAAAAAGTGTTTGCTAAAAAGCAAAACGACACTTTAATGGTGAAAGGCAGAATTTTAATTTCTTAGAAAGCTCAACAAATGGCGCAATAGAACTGAAGTTTTGAAGAAAATAAATTAATGCTATTGAATTATTGAATAAATATTGTTTCAGGGTCTCATTTATCTGCTTATCTTCTCTCTCCCTGTGTCCTGTCTCCCCAGAATCCATTTCACGGGTAGATATTTTTAATTGAATTTTGTTTCGGTGACTTTGGTTAATAAAATTATATAGGTTTCAGGTGTACAATTCTACGATGCACCATCTGTATATTGTATTGTGTGTTTACCACCACAAGTCAAGGCTCCTTCCATCACCATTTATTTCCCCTTTATCATCATCTCCTTCCTCCTCAACCCCTTTTCCCCCTGGTAATGACCCTTCTGTTATCTGTGTCTATGAGTTTTTTTTTGTTTTGTTTTTTGTTTTTTGCTTAATCCTTCACCTTTTTCACCCAGCCCCTCAACCCTCCTCCCATCTGACAGCTATCAATTTGTTCTCTTTCAATTTTTCTTGTTAATTTATTTTGTTCATTAGATTCCACATATAAGTGAGATCATATGTCTTTCTCCGACTGGCTTATTTCACTTAGCATAATATTCTTCAGGTCCATCCATTGTCTCAAAAATTAAGAGTTCCTTCTTTTTAACAGCCATTCCAATGTATAGATGTACCACAGTTTTTTTATCCACTCATTTACCAAAGGGCATTTGGACTGCTGCCTAATCTTGGCTATTGTAAATAATGCTGCAATGAACATAGGGATGCATATATTTTTTTGAATTAGTGTTTCAGGTTTCTACAGATATATCCCCAGAAGTGGAATTGCTGGGTCATAAGGCAGTTCCATTTTTAATTTCTTTTGAGGTAAGTCCATATTGCTTTCTCCAGTGGCTGTGCCAGGCTGCATCCCCACACACAGAATCATCATGAGCTCCAGGGGTGGATATTTTGAATGTTAATTTTAACCATTTAATGAGTGTTTATTTCTTGACAATTACCTTACCAAACACCATCTATATTATGCTATTTAATTTCACAACTACTTGTGTGTTAGGAGTTAGCATGACCACTTTAATATGCTAATATTTTTACATAACAAATACTAAGTAATTACCTACAGTTACGAGGTCCTGAGGCCTCCCCCAGATACACAGAAGTCATTGTGTTCTGTATTGCATGTGTATACTACATGTATATAATGGAAGCACAGTCTCATTAAAGCAGTTATGACCAGAAGCAGCAAATGAGTCTCTTCTTGCCTATTTTCTTTTTAAAAAATGTTTTCATTGGCCTGGATGGCGTGGCTCAGTGGTTGAGTATCAACCTATGAACCAGGAGGTTGAGGTTCAGTTCCTGGTCAGGGCACATGCCCAGGTTGTGGGCATGCAGGAGGCAGATGATCAATGATTCTCTCTCATCATTGATGTTTTTATCTTGTTCTCTCTCTTCATTCCTGTCTGAAATCAATTAAAAAATGTTTTCATTGATTTTTAGAAAGAGGATAATGAGAGAGAATCATAAATTGACTGCCTCCTGCATGTCCCCAACTGGGTATTGAGCCCACAACCCGGGCATGTGCCCTGACTGGGAATTGAACAGGTTACTTCTTGGTTCATGGGTCAATGATGAACCACTAAGGCACACTGGCCAGGCTACCCATGTTTGTGCCAATTTTCAATGTTGGGACAAAATGATAATTTCAGGAAATTGAAAATTCACTGATGAATCCCTGGTCTGGCACCAGTGTTATCTGTACATGTTCAGATAAATCTTGGCTGATTTTACACTCTCTCACCTTCTGCCCCACATCCTAATGCCACCAAGTACTTATATTTTTGCAATTTCAGGTCTTTTTCATAATAATTATTCTAAAATTTTTCTCTTGAACTTGTGACCTCTATTTTTAATCTCAATCTAAGCTGACAGGTTTTTTAAATCTAGCTAGCTGACCATGATTTCAGTTCCCAGGAAGGAGAACCAGACAAGAGTCAATTTCTAAGCTGAAAATGTGATTCCTTCCAGGCGATGGCTCAGGAGTGCCTTATGAAGCGTGCATTGAGACTCCTGCTGACCCTAGCTAGGCCCACTTACTTACATGTTCACTTCACATTCTCATCAACCCAGGCCACCTCTGCAAGGTTCTCAGGGTATTTTCTACCGTCTGGTAATAACGTCTGATTTCAGAACAAGGAAGTACTTCTTAATAGTAAGGGGATAGAGATGGGTAGGCTGGAATATTTAGTGCAGTTTCACACTGTGGGACTAAGGGAGATTCAGTAAAATGGCTAAAGAGGTAAAGGAGAAGATGTATATATAGGTAGGGAGAGGTGTATCGTATTTGATCATGAGTAGCAATTTGAGAAGATAAAGGACTCAAAACATGGGCAAACGTAATTTCTGTAGTATCACTTGTTTTCAGGCTTCCCTTTCTTTTCCTTCAAAAAATTACAAACTTTTGAAATAACATTTATTTTTTGTTTCTGATACTAGATTGCAACGTCTATAAGGGCAGGGGCCATGGTCTGTTGTTTATCTTTCTATGTCTAGTGCTTGTGGAATTTATATTTGTTGAATGAATGAATAAATGAATCAGTAAATGACTAAAACATAGGTGGCATAGGTGATGTGGACATGAGGTTTATTATTTAATAACTAGAGGCCTGGTGCACAAAAATTTGTGCACTCAGGGGGGAGGGGGGATGCCTCAGCCCAGCCTGTGCCCTCTCACAGTCTGGGACCCCTCGGGAGATAACGACCTGCTGGCTTAGGCCTGCTCCCGGGTGGCAGAGGGCAGGCCCAATCCCTAGGTGCAGCCCCTGGTCGGGCTCAGAGCAGGGCCGATTGGGGAGTTGGGGCGCCACCCCCTGTCATGCACAGAGCAGGGCGGATCCGGAGGTTGCGATGCCACCCTCAGTCACGCTCAGGGTAGGGCCGATTGGGGGGTTGGGACACCGCCCTCTGTCACACTCAAGGCAGGGTCGATGGGGAGGTTGCGGCACCACCCCCTGTCACGCACAGAGCAGGGCCAATCAGGGGGTTGGGCACCGCCCTCTATCACCCACAGAGCAGGGCCGATCAGGGGGTTGGGGCTCTGCCACTGTCACACTCAGGGCAGGGCCGATGGGGAGGTTATGGCTCCACCCCGTCACACACAGAGCAGGGCCCGTGGGGGGGGGTTGGGGCGCCGCACCCTGCCACACACAGAGCCGCAGGGCGATCAGGGGGTTGGGGAGCTCCCCCCATCAGGCACAGAGCAGGGCTGATCAGGGGGTTGGGGCGCCTTCCTTTGTCACGAACAGAGCAAGGCGGATAGGGAGGTTGTGGCCCTGCCCCCTGTCACACACAGAGCTGCAGGGCGATCAGGGGGTTTGGGCGCT